TCAGGCGATGGCATTTTTTTCTCTTTTGCAGTGTTTAGCATCTATTAAAAAAAGTGCCTTATTTTTACCTAAAAATGGCTTTATAAAAAGAAAGTAATAAAAATGATAACTTTTTTGCTAGTTTTATAAGTTCCTGCACAAAATAAAACAAATAAACTAGTTTTCTAAAATTCGATATTATTATTTAAAAAATTTGTTGTTGAAACTAGTCAGATATCTTAAAAGACCGTCTGCATATTTAAAGTCACTCCTTTAAACCATTAAGAGTCCTAGTAACCATCATGCATTAAGAGTACTAGAAATTTCTTCTATCATAGTCATATCACGTTAATTTAATTGAGTCCTAGTATGTGAAGATCCGTTCATTAGATTAATTATTATCCGATCATCAGGTAATTCAGGTTCTTACGTTATATTTGTTTATTTTTTATACACAGCACATGATGCTGGCACTCTATTTCTTGCTGTTAAAAGCATTTTAAGACACGCAATGCATCCACCTTTATAATCAAACATTTAAATTTGAGAATATCGAAAAACCTGTTTTTTTATCAATAAAAAACACTGAATGATAGTTTTGAACAATACTTTCATTTAACAATGAATGTGATTTTTATATAAGGGTAATTCTCTAGAAAAGAAATCATTCGTTTTATTCTATCGCTTAAGATTGAGTGTTAAATTAGAGAATCGTCTTTTATCTTACAAGACACCAAGACTCGATTAATGGAAATCAATGGCAATTTCTTTTGCAATATCACTAAGCCAGCTGATATCTTGCTATTTAAAGATTATGTTTATATTAGTATAACAATTTTCTATCCTTTTAATATACAAAAAAGGCATGGTGGGAAATATCAAATCTTTCACTTTCGTAGTTTTTTATTAAAAAAAAATAATAAACTTATCTGTAAATTTCAGACGCAATTGAGAATCAAAACATGATATGTATGTATATATATATATATATATATATAAAGAGAGAGAGAGAGAGAGAGAGAGAGATTATAGTAAAGTTGGATAAAACGTAGTAAGATTTTGATTAAGTTTTAATGGGATTATAATATTAAGAATTCTTTTTATAAATATAGCTCATAACAAGATTCAGAACTCCTTCTTTTGAAATATAAGTTATGGGTACTTGGATACCACCTGGTGTAATTTTGAAACAACTTGTACTGAATTAAAATATCTCTATAATGAGAACTAGATTTTTAATGAGAAAAGATTTTCAACTTATAAAAAGACGTATATTAAATGATATTTTTAAATAATGCAAAGCCTTAAAAATATTTCTTTAATAAATTTTTTTGGTGAAGTCTAGCATGTATGGCATCAAGAATATAATAAAAATGATACGTATTCTAATTATTGACGGTTTTCATTGTTAATTATACCCAAATTATTGTCCTATTCATAAAATATAAAATATTTATGATTAATTTTTAGACTCAAACTTAATAATAATTTTTATCAAGTAGGGAAAATTATCAAAGGTGATATGAAATAAGACAGGCACATTTAAACATTTTCTCAAAATATAACAGAAATTATAAATTAAAATATATATAAAAAAAAACAAAAGCACTATGAGGCATTAAAAATGACAATATGTACAGTGCACAAAAAAAAGAGAAAAAACAAGGACTTTACCTAGATAGCTCTTGATCTAATGATCGGATTTTTACGTACTAGGACTCAATCTCAATTTTCGAAGAGTGTCTCTTTAGAAATGCTAATATGATAGTTTTGTCATAAAAATGATCCTTAATGTTCATTCCATTTTTTTCGTATTTCGCCATATCTAGAACTTTTTATGAAAACTGAAACAATTTGCCTCAAAATTATAAAATTTGTTCATCCGAAGATGACTCCATGCAGAAATAATTTTTAGTCATCACTTATAAATTTTCATTATTTTAGTTTTTAAAAGTCGAAAACACTTTTTTCGAAATTTAGATAACTCTCCTAACCAAACTATTGGGACCATATTTTCCAGATTTTTGCTACACCCTATATTTTAGGGTAAGAAATCCAGATACGTCCAAAAAAAGTTGTGCATTACACATTTATTCTGAGTACTAAAAAATCACATTTTAATTTATGAACCAAGTAAAGGAAGAATAAAAATGCTTCTGAAAATTTCAAATACGGAGAAGATGAGGAGCACTTTAATCTTCTCATAACCACAATACAATTTAACGTAACCTTTGATCTTAGCAAATGATTAATAGAACTAATTAATGTTTAAGATTTGGCATTCAATTCCTTCTTCTTTTTGCTGTCTTCTTAACACAGTAAACCTTTTCATTGATTTTCCTATAGAAGAAATATTGAGTTTGGCATTCAATTCCTTTTTCTATTTGCTGTCTTCTTAACACAGTAAACCTTTTCACTGATTTTCTTATGGAAGAAATATTGTGGAGATGGGAGTCTTGCTTATAAAAATTCCAAGTGTCAAGGTTTGCTCCTTGGTTTTTCATATCTTGAGCCTATTACCAGATTTTTCTTTTTACTAAAAGCCGATGGTATCAAAAGATGAGTGGACATAGTTTCAACAAGACAGAAAAAAAATAAACATAAAAAAATGACTTTTAAAGTATGAAGTGAAATATTCCTTGTTGTTTTGTTTAGTTTCAATATTTAATTTTACTCACCCTAACACATACAAAGATTAGTTTAAAGTGTTTTGAATGCCAACTTGGACGCAATTTAATGAATTACAAACGCAAAGCTGGCACCTTCTGATTTATTACTGGGTTGCGGATGGTAAGACTTAAAATTGGCTTTAAAATTGTGATTTTTAGGAAGGAATTTGAATAGGTTTTATTTCAATAAAGTCTTAAACTAAGCATATATTTTTCTGAATTTCACAGTATTATTCTTTTCAGTTACATCGTTTCAAATCTGTCTTATTCAAATTTTTCAAACATTGAGATTGATGTTGAAATTAGTTTACACGCATCTCTTTAGTTTCGAAATTTGATTAAATTTATAGAAATACAAAGATTATCGAATTTCTTCTATGTATCTTCATTATCTTTCTTAACTGATCACCTAGAAAATAACACCTAGATAGAAGTTGAAACTGCCGTATTACCTTTTGTAAACTTCTCTCCAGGGTATAGCATAATTTATAACTTGAACAAGAAAATAAGCTAAAGCTAAATAATGGCAAGCGAGTAAAATAAAAGTGTCAACATTTTCTCATACTTGGCTACATCGTGGGTAAATAAATCTGTACAAGTATATTTTGTCTTACATTTTTAGGTAATCTAATATAAAAAATAATTTAGATTATTTACAAAAGGGGCAATAAGATGTATAAACCAAGTTATTAAAAAACTATGATAAAATTTTAAAAAATACAAAATAATGTTAGGAAAGATTATTCTAAATACTATTTGAAAAATAGATATTTTATAATCGGAAAAATGTATACAGTGTAATGTACACCCCATTAATTACTTCATAAATGCAAATTGATATTAACAATAAAACCAACTTTTTTCCTTTCTAGAACTTTATACTTAAATTAAATGCTTAAAAACTCATAAAACTTACTCTTTATAAGTTCAGAGCAGAGAGATTAAGAAGAAAATCAAATATGTTTATTAAAATGTGCTAACAAAATCTAACAAATTAAAATAAAATATACATTTGTAATTTAAACAAAACACTAATAATTTTCTGAAATAAATTTTTTAAACCTTATTTTAAGCAAATGAAATCAATAAGAAGCGATATTAAAAATTAAGAGAAGCCACTTTAATGAACAGCTTTTTAAGGGAAACTTACCTGCACTATCGCTTGAGGAAGAAAAGTATATCAACAACCTTCCACAGTTTGACCGGAGACAAATAAGTTCTATAAGGCTGTTCGGGAGGTAACATCGTTTTTTAAAATGTAAATGGAAAGTGATTTTCTTATAGTGAATATTTTAGTGAATCATATACTGTCTAATATCTTTCATCCTCGCTCCGGGTGTAGCGTGATTCTAAACTCATAAAACTTATGTTCCTTGATGGCAAAATAATGATCCAAGTGATTTTTGACCTCCTAATTTGAAAAAGAAGTTTTACAGTCTGAAATGTTTTGTGAAGACTGGAACATTGTTGTAGATAACCAATTGTTTGTCCCCTGCAAAGGTGAAGTTCAAAAATGGATAATTTTCCTGACGTTTGAGAAGTAAATCACAGACATCAAAGCGACGGGAAAAATTTCTTTCCTTAAGAACACGAGAAACCCATATGCCGCGTTTTAAGATTTAACACCTTTGCTTTTCAACTGACCATTTATGGTGGAAGTCGATAAAACTCTCAGTTATCTCAGGAGTTGCTAGTCACCGGCTTGCATCAATTAATGCTTTTATTGGGTCTTCATCAGCATAAACTGGTGTGGTGAATCTTTGTGCAAATTTTGCCAAATCAAAAAGTTACAAACCAATTTTGATACTGGTATACTGCCAAAAGTCTACATACACATCGTACATTTTTCTTCTTACATGAACAGTATTTTACCCTTTTCGATAGTAAAAAAGTCAAATATTCCATTTTTTCACTTTACGTATTTAAAAGGGCATCAACCAAAAACCACTGAGTAGAATCAAATGAAATTTTTTCACAAGCAAACGTTGCTATTTAAGTTGTCAAAATATATAATAACTATGTGGCTTAAGTGTGAAGTGGACTAAAATATAATAAGTCCTCTCTTGGAAAAAGAATAAAATTGATTTTCCAACATCTTAATAATTATAATTTGGTGTTTGATAGTTTCGCGTCATCACGAAGCCACCATGAAAATTCGAACCTGGGCTAACGAATGCCTTACTCCATTTTCCACCACAGTTTTATTTAATAGCAACGAAACATGCTATTGTTTAATGAACTTACCTTCAGTAACAATGGTTTTTAATGGTAATTACAATGGTAACTCAATGTTAATTATAAAAGAAACAAAATATAGCAAGCAGAATAATCTAATAAAAATAATTCCCTTACCTTCGTGACTTGTAGGTAAAGCTCTTCTATCATAATTTTTGAGAAGAGAATCCAGTAAGTTCAAATCATCAATAGTACTGTTCGGTCTAAAATAAAAAAATTTTGATATTCAAATGTACTTACTTCGGTTTATTTTTATAATACAACATGAAATAAATTTTTTCAATGTATATTTATAGCTAAAAATTATCGCTACTGTTTGTAATGGAAATGCTAAATACTTACCATCTAAAATAATCAGTTGAGCTATTGAAAGCAAACGCAAGTATGAATCACTATTTTGATATTTAAATCGCACTGATTAAAAGAAAACAAGCAGTTTTAATCTGAAAATAATATAGTATAGAACGGAGAATGATTTGTAATAATTATTTATTATTATAATTTGGTAAAGTGAAGTAGTAGAAAAATGGGATTAGTTTCAGATGGATGCTTAGCTGAAATTTTTTTGCTTTTTCTAAATGATTAACTTTTGCAAATGCATCTAAAACTGCATATTTATAAGTTATATATTTATTCAAAATGAATAATCTTTTCCTAGATTCTATATTTAATCAGAAGAAAAAATCCTTTAAATAATGTATGAAGCACTTAGGAACAATTAAAAATGGGCAAACTCATGAATAATCGAAATTAAATATTGAAACAGCACTTGAAAAACACTTCTTCATTGAACTTCCAACGAAAAAATGAATATAAAAAGTCATGTTTTTTAATAGTGATTATCACATTAAATATCAAAATGGACAAAGAATTTATGCGGAGGCAAAGATATTCATGAATTTAGATCGGTGGCAAAGATATTTATGATATTTGTCTAATTTTAAAACTCCACAAATTTATACTAAAATTTAAGTTTTATCTTATAACAATAAGTTTTACGTTTAAAATATAATTTTAATTGTTTAATTTTTTGGAAGTTGACTAATAAATTTTTTGGTTTTTTTTGGAAAATAGCGAGTAAACATTTTATCAGCTTAATGTAATACTTTAGAATAGAAAAATAATTAAACTTTAGCATGAAGGGCGTTATGTTTAAATTATTGGTACTTATACGAATAATGCATTTTGAATAAATTCTGAATCAGAATGTTTTAAAATAAAACTATATGATTATAAAATAATATGCTAGTTATGATTTAATTTTTTATCATATAGATGTTATCAATTATATTATTATCATTTATAATGTAAAAAAAACATTATAACTAATTAAGCGATAATTACTGAAAACTTTCAAACATTTTCCAATTTAAAATGAGAAAGGTTGTGGTTTAAACACAGAAGTAATTCATTTAATTTTGAATGTAATGAGGTTAATAAAAGCTTGGAAAAAGCTGAGTTATTCTCGTTTTCAAAATTATTTAGTGTTCTTCCTGTGGCTTAATGCCAAAAATATTAATAAAAAATGAGGTGTTTCTTTTCAAAAAATAAATGATTCATTATTCGTAATTATTTATTTGAGACTTTGACTCGTAGAGGAGATTTAATTTGTTTTTAATTATTTTATTTATGATCGCTAAATTCAAATTATTTGAAATGATGACAAATAAAATGAATACTTCTGCTAAGATTATGAAATTAATTTGAACGTTAAGAATAAAATAAAAATGTTTTGTTCTTATATCTTGAGTTCCACAAACTAAATTATAAAGTTAGCTAAATTATGAAGGAATGGCGAGTCAGAATCTTATTAAAATAATAATTTCGTTTTCATTTTGCACTAATGACAAGCGTAAGTGTAGGCCATTTTATGGTACCCCGAAACTATTTGCAGATGCAACTGTAATCAAGGCAACAGAAATTGTTTAATTACAATTCTACATTAATTAACTTGCAAATGCAATTCGATTAAGGGAAAGTATAACATATTTTAATTAAACTTAGATATTTTTTATTTTTTAGTAATGCAGAAATTACGAACATTAATTACTCAAAAGCTTATTTACAGCACATGTTGGAATTTCAGTTTACTAGTAAATGTTTGTTCACATACTTGCACTAAATAGATGCATGCATAATAGTTGTAAGTTCTTTCTTAAGCGCATTGATTTGTTTTCTTTATTTTTTTCAAGTTAGTGTTTTTTGTCAAAGCCTGAATAAGTCATATCTGAACATAACAACCCTTTAATCTTCTGATTTCCCTCTGTTTAAAAATATATAGAAAAATAGTTAATTAGCAATTTATTTTATTGTCATTTTACCATATTCAAATAAAACAGTCAAATAACCGTTAAAATGGCATCCAAACAGTTAACTGTCAGAAGAAGAAAAAAAAAAAACAGTTTATTAACTGCTTTCACCTAACGCGGTTAAACAACCAAAAATTTATTGCACCAACTAGATTCACCTAATGAAGCCACTTGGTTCCTTGCAGCTGGGTACATGTTATAGTCAGTCTCAATCTAGCTAATCTGTCAATCTGGCTAATCTGTCAATCTCATGTCCTACAAAACGGGGGTTTGAGTCCCATCTTTGACACCACAATATTTCCCCTGTTCCCTTCAATACATGAAAAGTTCCTAGTCCCCCAATTTGTGACTCTAGACGATTAGACTACGATACTCACTCACGCATAGAAGCACTGTCTGCTTAACACAAAAAAGCATAGCATTTCTCACCTCTTACGATAAATAACCAGATAAACTAATCAAACCACATTCCGCAGTTCATTTGATAAAACTCAACTCGCCACAACCTAACTCCCATGTCCATTACCTGACGAAAAACCTAGCCCCAATGCCAGTTAAATTTCTTTTTTTTGTAGTTTTGAAACCATGCTAGTTGTCAATGGTCAAAAAACCGTAGAGTTTTGTATTCATGTTTTTTTAACCATACTAGTTGCAAACGGTTTGTTTCAAAACCATAAAGGTAGAATATATTCTTTACCGTAAACTTTAAGGCTAATTGTACGGATAGACGGCTGCTGGTTATTTTACCGCAATTTTAGAATGAAAAATCTAACAGTACAACTTTACTTAAAGCGTTATATTTGCAGTTTCTTTTGATTGGTTCAATAAGATTGAGCGGATAATTATTATTTTTACAAAAAGATACGTCTCAATGCCAGTATTTTTCTTAAGACTGAATGAAGGCATTCATAGAACGAAAATAAAATATATATAATTTTTTAGCTTTATTGCAAATCTTGTTTTTGAACCTTTTTCCCATTGTATGTTAAGGTTCTCAAACGCAATATATTTTTAATGATAAAGCGTAGTGTTTTTCCATTATATCACGAATGCAAACTTGATGCAAGCTTAATGCCAATATCAGTGCATGTAAACAATCATTGTTGTAAATAAGCAAGTTATCATGTTTTACTTGCTAATTATTTATAACCCTTGTTGAGGTCTTATGATAAAAGTTATCACTAATTTTTTTTTTTGTTGATAAAAGTTGTTACTACAAAATTCCGATTCAGCTGGGGAAAAAAATTATTCAGAAAATGCATGTTTTTTTGTAACTAAACTTTAAACTAAAAGATATATAAATAACTAATTTACTTATCAATGTGTAATTTATAATCTTTAAAGAACAGATATGTTTTAAGTTTGTTTTATTTAATTCATTATTTTATTTTATTTTATTCTATTTCTGAAAAAACAACAGTTTAGTCTTAAGTATTTTTAAGGTCTGGAAGTCTTTCTTAAGCGATTTTTTTCGTACGTTAAATAATCCCTGCGAGAAATATTAACATATTTTTCTTTGATAAATAGAGAGCTTGTAGGTTTCTTATAATATTAATAACAAAAACGATTTATGCAACATAAAAGTCAAATATTTAAGTTAAACTGAAAATTACGGAGTTCAAAGATAAGGTAAAAACATCTTTTGATTAATTAACTGCAGAAGAAGTGTTAATTAAAATTAATTCATGTTTGCTAAATCAGTGAATACTTTTTTTAAAAAAAATGTAAGTTTGATTAACGTTTAAGATTGCTCTATTTATTTTCTAAGTGATATTAGCAAATAAAAGAAGGTACATTATTTTTACTCGCAGTTTTTTTAGCTCACAACTTTATAGTTTTATTCTTTTGAATAATTTATGAGATATCTGACAATCACCTTTTAACATTTGCCTGGTCCATGAATACTGATATTGTGTATAAAATTTCTAGAATAATTTAAATAAAAAACATATTCATGCATTATCAACCGTGTTTCAGTATTTTATCCCTTTGGTGAGGATTTTTTATTAATCATTTTCTTTTCATGCTTTTTTTCATTATTTTTTTTAATTTAGGTCAAAATGAGTGATAAATATTCTATTTAGAATCTTAACAGTTTATGGGTATTAAATTAAAAATGAAGCACCGGTATCTTTTTCTTCGCTAAAAGTAAAATCTTCCAAGCACGATTTACTTCCGAACAGTAATTTTTCAAATTTGCTATTATCTACAGTTACATATATCGAAGAGAAAAAGTTTAAACTTCTCCAACTAACCTCAAAACTTAACTTCAAAACATTTTTCGTAAAATACAATAATACAATTCGATAATCTAACAGAATTTTTTAGTAACTATTAGACTCTTTTTCATAATTGTAATGTACCAAAATGTATTTTTACTTCCAATCAGAGTGTCAAGAAATATTTGAAAGAGACACTGGTATCCCATCCTTGTCAAAGAGTTACATGAAAAAACGTGTTTAGTTACCAATGACGCATGCTCTTTTTTATTCTTGGGGAATAATAATATCAATTGCTATCGCGGAACAGTTTATAGTAAGACAATAAAACCAATAAATCAAACCCCTTATTAACAGTTTCGATCATACATCAATGTTTTTACATATTTATTAGTTTTAAATGCCCATTAACGACTTGAATTCTTTTTTAATAATACGCAGTAAAAAAATTGCAAAATCTAATTTTGACTCCACAAAAATATTTCAACAAATATCAGACAACATCATTTTAATAGCACGTGTCCGATCAATCGAGAAGCATTTATTTAATTTTCGAAAGTACGAAACTGAATTGCACTAACGCCGATTCAGTTTCAGAAGATTCCGAAATATTCAAAAATGTTTTTGAAAACTACATTCACCGTAGCTGCCGCATATATTCAGTGACGTTTCCGG